CGGAGAACTGAAACAACGATAACAATCCCTCTCTGAGTAGAAAGGTCGCAGTTTTTGAAGAAACTAGTAACTAGCTATTCGATAGTGATTGCAGCCTCGTCTTCAAAGCCTTCAACTCCTTCAGTGTGGTTTCCATCCACGGACAAATATCGCAGTAAACTGACCAAATTCATCAGCATTGCCGTGGCCATTATATATAATTATATAAAATATATACACTGGTTATGCACTACGCAGTAGACGAAACACAAAGAAAAGACAAGAAAAGGTCCTCCCATATCTGCCAGCACTTTGATGGCCACCTTGAAGCAGCAGGTTTTGATTTGTCAAGCTTCAAGCCCCGAGCAAGTTCAAACAGAAGCAATGCCTCTGTGACGCCACGCAACTTGCCCTTGTACACCTCGGGATGGGCTAGATTCGGCTAGATGCGACGACCAGTCAGAAATGGGTGCTGCGATACGCTGCGATAGCAAAACGACAGAAATGCTGTATTCACCTGTATTCCGTATTCCCCAAAAATGCTCTCGGCACCCTGACAGCCCCCACACCACCAGCACCGAGGCGGTTTTCTGGGCTGAAGCCATTGGTAGCACTGGCAAGGTCCTTCCAAGTTTCTTGGATTGGATGAATTGGATGAGGAACGTTGGAACATCGGCCTCATACAAGTATTCCAGCGCCAACTCCTGCAACCTCGAGCCATGAGCCAAATATGTCGGGAAGCCCGAAGGATTGCAAATGAAAACCGGGGCAACGACCCTAGCCAGCCCAAGGCCTTCGCATGCAGCAACGACAGTATTGTAAGCCAACAAACAACCATCAATATGTATAGCGAGAGAGGTAGATAGATAGAGATATATATATATAGAGAGAGAGATATATATGTGTGTGTGTGTCATATATGATAATGCTTGACTCCTTCGAACGCAATCAGCGCACTGAAGAATGAAGGCTGAGATTCTGGCTGTTCCCATCGCGCCAGAGGGATCAGGTTTGATCCTAGACAAAGATGGGTCGTGATCCGCATGAACAATGCAAATTTTGAGGGATACTTTAACAAGAATGAATAAGAGCACTGCCCCTTCAAGCGTCGCTGCGGAAAACTGCAGCCGTTTGCATCTGGGCCTGGACGTATCTGGTTGCTGGTTCCAACTGGCACACTTAGTTTTTGCTTAGGCTTCGCAGGGCGCTGAGGACTTTACTCGCAACGTCTGACATTGGAATCTCCTCTTCAGAACTCTCATGCATTGACCTCAGTACAAGGTCGTTTATAAGGAAGAGGATCTCACGGAAGTGGTAACCACAGTGCATTCAAAGATGTTCAAGCTCACACAGAATCTGGTTTCCTGATGGTTCCTGGACAAGTTGACTTGGATCTAAGTGAGACACACACCAGGCGGAACTCTCTGAGAATCGAAAGAGCTTGGAATCTTTGAGTCATCTTTCCCATGTGACTGCAGCTGCCAGCTGGTCTTCATAGGCTGCTGCAAATCCCTCAGCCCCGTGGCAACGCATGAATATACACACAGGAATTACTGTACCTTTCCGTGCATGATACTGTACCACTCTCTCCGGTGGCTGTTACTCCAAGTTCTGGCAAGCTGCTGTGTGCAGAAATCTGGCAAGCGGGTCGCCCAAACCTCCCAATCCATCACATTCAAATTGAAAGGAGGCTGAAAGAAGTAACCCTCACCCTCTTTACCTCCTTCACCCTTTTCACCTCTCCACCACCCCGCTTGCCTCTTGGATTGCCGTAGTCAAGGGCGTCTGCCCTTCCTGCACTTGCTCATGCTGCGCTGTCGAGGCACTACATGCTCAATTGCCAAAGCCTCCTGCTTTCCCAACATGGAGACATCCACCTCAGCTCAGCAAGACATGTACTGACACAGGGCCAAAGTCCCCCAAAATAATGTTGAGCTCTCTACCCGGACGGTGTCAGTAGAGATGTCGGCTAGAGCGCATGGCCTGATATGAAAATTCCGTGCAACGGTCTGATGGATGTCTGAGGCAGTGAGAACTGAAGTCTAGCAGGGAATGCATGGCTAATCCAGCTAGTTGAGCTGAAGTAAGCTCTCCACTTGCATGGCGTTGTTGCCTGATCCCAACCACCTGGAAGCGGTTGCTCGCATAGGAAGCGAGTGAATCCACAAAGTCAAGGCTGGGGCCCAAGCTAAAGAGCCACATCATCCATCAATGCAACCAAGTTCATTATCCGTTTGAAAAAGTCGGCCAAACATATCTGAAGGAACTTGGAATAAACTGACATGTTTTCCTCCGGGTTTCTCTGTGAAAGATCTGCATGAGTCCATGATATTGGAATGCCATGTGGCCGCTATGCCAGTATACCAATCTCGTTTCAAGACGGTGCATTTTCTTGTTGTGGCCTCTTGCCCCTTTGCTGATTGAAATGAGGAACTGCAGCAAGAATGGGCATGGTTTCAACATGTTTCTCAACAAATATCATAAATCTTGCAAGGCACGTTTTGAAACCACTTCCAACAGCTAACCCAGACGCATAACAAATTCCAAAACCTCCCCAAAAAAGATCATCATCAAATAGCTGGCAAATGGATGGTCATTCCCCAAAACATGCCAGTTTTAATTGGTTTTAAGCCATCCCCATATGAAAAACCGCCCATGCACCGCATGTTGTATCTGCTTCTGGTCAATTCTTGCAGTCCAGGAGGCCGCCCTGACCCAAGGAGAAGGGACAGGACGCTTCGAGGCGCGGGGCTTAGGCGAAGTAATCAACTCTTGGGGAAGCTTCGAGGAGTCGCTGATATCACTGATATCTGATGATTGATGATTCTGATAGTTGTATCATGTTGTATCAATCTTGGGAAAGATGGAAACCTCATGAAATCCTACAACTACAACTTGGTACTCAGATGATATTTGAAACAAGGCCCTGTGCCTGCGAAACGCCATCTAAGGTGGCTAGATGTGGCTGAGCTTCATGTGGCTCTTGTGGGAAAAGAACAGCTAGTGCATAACAAATACAGTAGCCGCCATAGCTGGAAGTTGAACACTTTGGTTCTGCATCCTAGATTTCAACCTGGGATGGCTTCCATAGCCCCTTTAACAGGCCATTCCGGTCATGACATCTGGTCAAAGGCGTTCTTCAAGGCCTAGCAGTCTTGCTCATGTTTTCGTGGTGTTTCTGTGGTGTTTTGGCGGTGTTCCGGTGGTGTTTTGGTGGTATTGAAGAAACGGTATTTTTTTGGAGTAAAATGGTCCCCCGGACAATACCAAATTGGCGTCAACGGAGATGCGAAACTTTGCTATTGGGGTTGTATGCTGGGATAATTTTTTCAACATGAAAGTAAGAGTATACGATGAAAAATCCGCCCACACCGCTTTGGCGGTGAAGGCGTGCTTATTGGGGGGCAACAGCAACACTAAATGCTCAATGACATTTGTTAATATAGCAGTCGCTATATCAGCTTTAGCTGGGGGGGGGGGGCCCAAAAACGGTTTCGCACCGAGACCAGAATACGGTGGTGTTTTCGACATTTTTCGAGGATTTTTGGGTGTCTGAGCGCAAGAGGGTATTGAAATGGAATTTTGGGTCATTTTGGTAGCTTTCCGGCAATGGAAAAACGGCCAAAAATGAAAAAAACATTGTACATAGCAAGATTTTGCAGGGTTTTTGGATGCCAGAGCATTGAAAACACTGCAAAAACAAGTGTTTTGGACTGACGTTATAGCAAAAAACGTGTAAATTACCGTATGCTTGACTGGAAACATTACAAAAACACTGTCAAAAGCAATGTTTTGGAAGGATTTGCTGCCTTTATTGCAAAAAACGTTTAAATTACCGTCTGTTTGACTGGAAACATTGGAAAAACACTGTCAAAAAAAATGTTTTGGAAGGATTTCTTATATATATGTTGGAGTTGGCTACCGGCATTGGCACATGGAAAAATTGAAGAAAACACTGTAAATAGCGGTATTTTCAACGGTTGGGGAGATAAGGGAATTGGAAGCATTGTCGAACATGATGTTTTCGACCGGTTTTATGGCGACAAAAGTGTAAAGTACCGTGCTTTGAAGGAAACCATTGCAAAAACATGGAAACACATTCAAAGAACACGGGATTTGGGGGACTATCTAGGCGTCGTTGTCTAGCTATTTGAAATTCCGCAGCTTGGAGAGCCTCCAAGGGAGGGAAAAGTGAAAATTCCATAGCTTGGGAAGCTGTCACGGCGGGGAAAAGTGAAAATTCCCTAGCTTGGGAAGCCCCCACGGGGGGGAAAAGTGAAAATTCCCTAGCTTGGGGAGCCCCCACGGGGGGGAAAAGTGAAAATTCCCTAGCTTGGGGAGCCCCCACGGGGGGGAAAAGTGAAAATTCCCTAGCTTGGGGAGCCCCCACGGGGGGGAAAAGTGAAAATTCCCTAGCTTGGGGAGCCCCCACGGGGGGGAAAAGTGAAAATTCCCTAGCCCGGGGAGCCCCACGGGGGGGAAAAGTGAAAATTCCCTAGCTTGGGGAGCCCTCACGGGGGGGAAAAGTGAAAATTCCCTAGCTTGGGGAGCCCCCATGGGGGGGGAAAGTGAAAATTCTTAGCTTGGGGAGCCCCCACGGGGGAAAACCACCCTTAGCCCCTCTCACGGACCGAAATAAACCTGCGGTGTGGGCGGCCACCCCACGCGAAGCGGGGTGAATAGTCGAACACATATAGTTGAATCGACCATTTTTTATCGTAGGCAGCGTTTCGAAAGTAGAAGTTTCCACTAAACTTCTCCTAAACTTCAACCTTTGAATGTGGAAGTTTATCCAAAACTGCAACCCAACATGTTCCAAGGCTTCAGGCTGGGCCTGGGTCTCACTTGGGTGAGATGATGTGAACCTTAGCAGGCAACTCTTGGACAGTTATGCAGCAAGCACTGCTAGGGATGCTGAGCATTGCTGAGCACCAAACACTGCCACCTGGTTTGAAACACCTAACGTCAAAGCATGATTCTCCTTGCTTCAGTAGGTGCAGTATGACAATCTCCTCCTTACACTATGACTCTTCGACATGTTCGAAGATATACAGTTTGGCACCTCCAAAGATTGATTGCAAATTGCATCCTCGATTGCGTTCCTGGAGCTGCGTTGATCACGACCCACGCCGGAGGGTGCAGAAATGTGCAGAACAAAAATTGTGGACGTGACAAGCATTTCTGCTCCTCTGCACCCGCGCCGCCCTGACAGTCACCGTAGAAGTGGCAAAAGTTCCAGTACAACTCTCACGAATCCGTGCGCTCTCCAACTGCACATTAGAATGCAACACCATCAACACCTCGACAGCTGAAGTCTTTCCAAGAAGTGCAGTGCAAAAAAATCACCCGAGCTCCCTGCAAACCAGCTAGCATCGCGGCAGAAGCAGAAAAAGATCGAGTCAGCGACCTGTGGCTGTACATCGCAGCATCCTGTTGAGTCTCTGGCCCTATGACTGTGTCACCTCCCCTGAAGCTGCAGACTCAATCCCACAATGCCGTGTTGCAAAGAAGTTTAAGAAGATACCCACGTTTCGAGCATCGGACGTGATCCGAAAGCAGGCAGAAGGGCCACGAGATGAGCATGCAAATCTGAGCACACCAGCTGGAAGAGATTATGACTATGTGAACCTGTCTGGATTCATAGTTATCTAGCGCTGGTGAGTCTAAAGCATCTCAATATTGATAAAGATTCTGCGTACAGCCAACTCAAGTTTTTGAAATCTACTAGCACAAAAGGCACATTGACGCTCTTCCGACCCCCAAATGCACAGAATCTGACGGCGAATGAGACGAAGGTAACGAAGGTTGGCAACTGCGCGGCAGCCAGCAAGCCGGTAAGGAAAACACAGAATTGTGAAGCGAAAACACTAGTAGAGTCAGAACACATAAGCAGAAAGCATCGTATACAACTTTCGCACCATGATCAAGTTTGGGCTGCTCGTGGAGCTGTAGTCCGGCCAAACCTTCAGGAATGTTAGTGCAACCCGCATGCTCCACGCATCCAATATGCTGAAATCACTCCACACCGTTTTGACCCCCCTGGTCTCAGCTCCAGTCTGCACAAAGCAGTCGGGTGAGCGCAGCTCCCACGGCAGAAATCGAGAAGCTGCTGGAAGTGGCCACAAGAAGGGCCGCGCCTTGACCACAATGGCAGTTGGATCAGGAGAATTCAGTTGGTGCAGGCTCCAGTGATTCTTTGATACAGGCTGTACAGGCATTTTTCAGGGAAATATGGGAAATGGGATCTGCTGCCACCAATGAACTCAAAAGTAGTTATCAAATGCTGCTATGGAAACAGGCCACAGCAGTTCTCGGCAAATATATCTGACTGATAAAACGCTTCAAGGCAAATATTTCTTTGCTGAGGGAGGTTCCGTCAAACTCAGAGACGTTGACGTTCTTGCCAGCCAAGTAGCCACTTAGATCATTGGACAGCGATTGGGCATGGTTCTCACTTCCACACACACATAAACACATAAACACACGATTCAAAACAACAAATATTGGCAAGCTGCTCAGCTTCGTAAGCAGCTTCCCAGAAATTATGCCCAGACATGGCGATGTCCATATATGCACCTTGGATCATCGAGTCTCAAGCGCTTTTTTTTCTGACCTCCTCCGAGTTCCGCACTGCGTCTCAGCATTCGAATGCGTCTCCTGGGTATGGGCACTGACACATAAACTGCCCTCAAAAATCTAAACTGTCCTGGAAAATGTGCAGGCTTGTGGATGATTGGCTTGCTGTGCCATCTATCTAAATCTACTCTACTTCTTTGAGGCGGGCACTGATAAAAATCGATCACGTTGTTGCACATCTGCGCAAGAAGGCTGTTCCAACTTCAAAATTCAAATCACCTGCGTACAGGCCTACAATTATCCCACTGCGCGTCCAGCCTTGCGATATTCTCTAAGTCTAGCTTTGCCGTTCGGAAACTGTTCTATGTCAGAAATTCTGCAAGCAACCTTTTAGTCCGAACACACGGCTGCCTTCCCGTACATTGGGAATGCAGAGGCACATCGTGTGCAAATATTTGCATCCTCATCCTCTGCTTTGCGGATTGGTCCTGGTAAAGCATGATTTGCAGAGCCCAGACAAACGACATAATTGACAGGCCAGGGTCAAGAGGGGCCTCAAAATCAGATACTGGGCAATGGACCTAGTCCTAATCCATCTGCTACTTGCGTCATGCACCAGTACTTTCCTGTGGGTGGGACATTGTTTAAGGATTTTTCTTTTGGTCTGAGTTTTATAGCTTTTCCCCGTCCAAACCCTTCGCTGATGAGAAACAAACCGACTCAATTTTACCAAGAGGCTGGTGGTGAGGTCCAAGACCTCAAGTTCTCAACAACTGCGATCCATGAGTGTCTGTTCGCTCTGTTGCTGCACCAATCCTTCGAGTTTCGGCACGAGGTGGCAGCTGTGGGTTGGGGGCCACACTGCCCTGACGGGGCGCATGATCATAATCACAACCGATCCGAGCCTGGGTTCCGCATGATGCAACTACAAGCTTGGACTGAAAGACTGGTTGACATTTTCATCCATTTCTTGCAAGGTCCCAGCGCCAGCGAGCCAAGGTGGTACTGCGCCTCGCTGTCAAGCCCCTCCCTTGCTTTAGTAGAAAGTTAGCTCTGCTTCTCAATGGCAGAGCTGGGCCGCCAGCAATGGCCCAGTAGGCATCTGTGAGCAAAGTTGCCCTGCAAGTGAGCACATCTGGCACTGCCACTTCCAAAAGTGTGGTTCCCCCTTTGGGCCAAGCAGAACACTGAGGAGACTACCCCTCAAAATCCTTCTCCTGGCAGACGGCAGGAAGTGCTGCGTAAGTTGACATCCAACAGCATAGGTATACATAAATGTCGTCACAAACATAAACATATATCCGGCTTGAACGCTAGAAACCCAGGCATTTCTCCCGCAGCAGCTGAACAGCCAGCCTCAAACCATAGCACTAATACACCCCAACATTATAGCAGTAGCCACAAAGACTTTCCAAGCGCCAGCCCCAAACTTTACTTGCAAAATCTTGCCCTGGCACCAAGCCTGTTTGGACGATATAGGAAGTATTTTGAAGTAACTTTGGCCAACAATATACCTGTGGACCTGGCTATCCGCCAAATACATCCAAATACTGCAATTCTCTTGCTTAGGGTCGCCAACCACATTGGCTAGGCATTCAGCACAAATAGTGCAACACAATGCAAGTAGGCAATGAAATGATGATATCGGTTGATGCTATGCTCCGTATGTCTCCAAAAAGTTAATATACATCAACATCGTCTGACTTGCAGAGTCAAAAACAACCTCCCCTCGGACCTCAGCTGATGCCATAGGTGCATAGAACCAGGTCGCTGACACATACGCATACACGAAGCATGATCTGGGCGCGTTCGATAAAGTGTATTTTGAACATGTCGAGAAAGGCAAATGCAAGTGGCTGTGCTGAAGCTCTCTAGGAACCATGCTGTTTCGTTTTGACCAAAATCATAAGCTCCGCATGGCTGCATCCCAGCCAGCTATGAAGTGATAGGCTGGTAGACTATTGAATAGTGGTGATACTGGGCTGGCTTCTACATTCCCAATGCCGTTTGGCAGTTGGCTCAGCAAATCGCCCATTAAATCTCCTCTAGGAGGAGTTGGGAGTGTGAGACTGGAGCAGCAAAGCAAACTCCAAACCATACCGGCCTCAAACCAACTGATGTGAAAAATGAAGGTCGAGTCTGGACGACACAGTTGGTAACGACTTGCCGTGACTTGCCATCTTTCTGGATTGACATCAGGCCGCTTTGGTATGCTTAATCTTCAGACCTCGAAGCTCTGATTCTTCCACCTCTGCAAGTTCTCAGGCAAGCAGGCAGAATGGCTCATGGGCGAGAGAAGCTTTCCAATGTCTTTGCTCCCTCCCCAGAAGGAATCTACTAGATTCAGTTTGCGGCAAGGCCAGCCGCCCTTCCCGGGGCATTGTGGGGCAAGTGGAAAGCTCAGATCAGCTTTGACTTTGGGCTCTGGTGACTTCATCCTTCCTTCCGCCACCCAAAGCCAGTCTGGCCAATTGGGATCTGGATCAACTTTCTGGCTACGCCATGATGTTTGAGTTGAAGCTGCTGAGTTTACAGCAGTTGGCAAGGATGAGAGGTTTGGTGCAGAACTGCTCTTGGGCAAATGATCATTGAAAAGTTTTCCCGGGGAAAACAGGCTTGTCCCTGCACTGGGGCTACTATCAGGGAGTTCACCTCGAGCACGACCCTCAAACTTCTTGGTTCGCACACGAAAGTCCCTGGCAGTGGCATCAGCTCTTCTCTGCTGTTGTCTTGTTAGTTTCATGTAGCTTCCAGGGATGGTCTTGAAGCCCACATTGAAACGAGCAATTCCAGGGCGTGGAACCTCAGCGCCTGCGATCCAGGCTGTCTCAGCCCACGTCAAGAACTTGGTGCGATCCACATCAAGAAGGTCAAACATAGCATTGATATCCCCATGGTAGCCCATCCCAACGCAACCATTTCGGAAATCTGCGATCTTTACCCGATCATCACCTCTGACATCCATAATCTCCTTCCAAGCAGCTTCCCAAGAACCATAGCTCGCCTCAGCGCAGTCATTGAACTCCTTCAAAATTCGAGCAGTCTCCAGATCTAATTCCCACAAGCTAACCACACCGTTGCCATTTTCATCCAGTTCTTGCCACAGCTCCCGTGGGTTTCCAGCAAAACCCACATCTTTTACTGCTAGTTTGAACTCTGCAAAGTCCAGGTGTCCATTGTGATCACGGTCTAGCCCTTGTCGCCAGGCACGAACATAGTTCTGGTAAGATTTCAAGAGTAGCTTTTTGAAGTTGTTGCGGCCCCCATCTTTCTTCTGTTCCTTGACTGGAGGCAACCATTCCTGCACTGGCTTTGCCCATCTAGATTCGGGCTCTCCACTGCCAATGCGATCTGGTTGTCCATCTGCAATCCAAACGTGTAGAAAACCAAACTCTTTCCGGGAGATCCCTGTGGACGCCCTTTCGGTGGCCAATTCCGCGAAAAGGTGCGAGGCATTGCCTCTAAAGCCCAGCTCCCGGGTGGCTGCAATGAACTCGTCCTCAGTGATCCTCAAGGCGCCACGGCGGTTGAAGCAGCTCCGCCAGGCCTTCTCAACGGTGCCGAAGACGGACCAAATGGTCACAGCCAGGCTGGTCATCATCTCGGCCAAGGGCGCATCTACTTCGGCCATCGAAATGAAACCGGATCGGTCTATGTCCAAAGCTCCAAAGATCTGCCTGGCCCCTTTCCCAACTCCTAAGGTTTGACAAGCCCTCAGGAATTCGAAAAATGACAGCTTGCCATCTTGGTTCACATCAATGGACTTCCAGGCGCCAGCTATGCTTCCATACTTTTGGATCAAGAGTTTGTGAAAATCCAAGCGAATCTTCTCACACTGATCCAGGCTTGGCTGAGGATATTTTCCAGCTCCTGAAGCCCAACCGCCTGCGCCCCAAGAACCCTGAGGCATCTGTTTGACCTTCCGTGGGCCCCCCATTGCTCAAAAGGGCTAAAAACTGGCGCCAAAGCTTTAGGTGTCCCTGTGTGCTACGCCTTTGATATTCTGTGTTGGCTGTTGTGCGCGTCAGCCATTGCTTTTGGCTTTCGCTGATATGTCCTTTGGGTTTTGTAATCATTCAATCATGTTGGCCTGAAATTGAGAGGCTTGGGCCTGGAGTTGTCAGAGCACTATCTTTGGCCACTCTCCACACAGCAGAATAAAAACACCTCTGATCCTGTCAGTCCTAGAATACTAAACTAACAGCTGCTGTTACGTCTTTGCACTTTGTCATGCGTTGACTTGTGAACATAAAAACAACAATTTTTGTATGCATACTCGGAACATCTCCAAAAACAATGCAGCTCACAGCACTGAGGAGCACGCATGGCGTTGCTAAACTCATACACCCACAGGAAGCAAAGGACGAAACCAGCAGCAATCCACAACTCTTTTGCCTGGCTCTGAGGTGTTGAAGGAAGCCGCTGCAGCACAACAAACAAGACAGGCACCAAGGCAGGCACCATTGGAAAACATCGAATTTCTTGGAATCAGCATTGGAATATGACTTGCCCATTTTGTTCCTTGCCTCGTAGTGAATCTCGTAGCTGCCCCCTTCAGCAACACGATCAAATCCAGATGCGAAGAACATGAGACCTTGGCATCTAATCACATGCGAAGCAATCGAATCGACCATTGCGGTTGCTCTTCCTGTGACAGGACTCTCTCTCCCTCTGTCTCTTTGCTTCTTTCTCTACCTGCATGTCTCACGACAGTAGGACCCTCATTCTGAGCCGGGTTCCAACCGCAAAGTTTGTGAGGAGCAGCACCTGTTTCCATGACTCCGTCAGTTTTTGGTGGGGCTCGGGGCTTTGCCGTAGAAAATGCACTTCAGTGGGGTAGAAACTTCCACGGTCATGTCATTGATCTGTCTCTGGCCTTCCTTGCAGCTGCCAAAGCTGGTTCGGTCAGAATGGCAGGCACATCTCTTGTGCATTCTCCACATGCCTGGCCACAAACTGACTGCAAGCCCACTTGCGCGTAAACGAAATTCTCTCCACTTGTCCACTTTAAACCGCAGTGCAATGTAGTTTCAAGCCTATGAAACATACGGTACTGGGACTTACGTATTTGTATCCGCCGGTTGCCTTGATATTCATTCTGTAGTTGGTTGGTCAGTCGGTCTGCTGACTGTTTTCTTCCATTGCTGGTTGATGGTCAGTTGGTCTGTGATTTCCAGTGTGTTGGTTGGTTCCTATATTCAACCATTTTATTGCACAACAGTCACACCGAGCATGAAAGTCCAAACACTCGTTTTACTCCTGGGATTTCTGGCCAGCCAGTGTGGACAATGGCACAAAGATTGGACAACTTCTGGCAGAACATGACTGGCCTGCTATCCCGAACAAGAAACATGATCAATTGTGTGGCGCTCGCAGCGGTCGCACAAACCCTAAAAAGGAGGCGCGCGCGCGCACACACGCACACACCAATAAACAAACAAAGAGACAGACAGACAGACAGACAGACAGACTGACTGACTGACTGACTGACTGACTGACTGACTGGCAGACAGACTGACTGACTGACAGACAGACAGACTGACTGACTGACTGGCAGACAGACTGACTGACAGACAGACAGACAGACTGACAGACTGACTGACTGACTGACTAACCAACTAGATAACTAAATAACCAAACAAATAACAATCTATATAACCAAGCTATGTATATATATATATATCATATCATATGTCAATCTCTCTCTCTCTCTATCCATCCATCCATCCATCCACCCACCCACCCACCCATCCATCCATCCATCCATCCATCCATCTATTCTTGTCTAATCTAATCTAATCTAATCTGATCTAATCTAATCTAATCTGATCTGATCTAATCTAATCTCATCTAATCTGATCTGATCTAATCTAATCTGATCTAATCTAATCTCATCTAATCTGATCTAATCCAATCTAATCTAATCTCATCTAATCTGATCTAATCCAATCTAATCTAATCTAATCTAATCTATCTATCTATCTATCTATATCGTCTATCTCGATCTCTCTATCCTATCCTTCCAGGCAACTACGGAAGCTTATGGCCAGCTTGCACAACGCAAGGTGCGTAAACTCTGCGACCTCTGGCCTTGACAGCTTGGAAGGCATTCTTGAGATTCTTTCGATCAACTTGGCACGTGCTGAGAAAGCAGGGGCTCACAGAACCCGCTGAGTCACTGAGACATGACATTGACAGAGCTTTGCGAAAAATGCGAAAAGGTCTCAGCACAACACAGTAAACAGCGATGTGAAACCCAATGACCTGAGCAGGCACAAGCCATGTCGCATAAAAGCTGGTGAAAGGTTCCTCAAAAGGGTTCCTCAAACTATCTGAGGTCTGAGCAACCACAAGTGCAGCGACACCAATCAGGAACTCAACATTGGTCAGAAGGTTCCAGGCGTCTGACAGCACAGGCATTGCAAGCGTCCCAACTCCAAGAGTGAAGAAATGAAAGCCAGGATCCCCCTGCTGTCCTCCCAAGTTTGTCTCCAAATCCACAGCATCAATCCTCAGTTGAGGTGTCTGTTGCCTACCCGCCAATTGAGCACACATTCTGAATTTGAAAAGTTCAAGCTCAGATCGTGTCATTTCCAGTTGCAAGGCGCGAGGCTGGAAATCGACTCAAAATCTCCAAGCTTGCCAAGGCTTTTGCCACCGAATGTAACAGGGAAGACCACAAATCTCAGCCAAGCAGCACAGAGACTGCTCCAATAAAGCCCAACACCTGAGGGTGACAATGGACCGCCCGGGCTGGTCCCATAAGATTTGCATATTCCACCTTAAGAAATTCGGCAAAGCTCAGGTTCCTGCAATAGTAAAGAAGCCAGTTGATGTCCAAAAAACAGTAGAGGGATCTTGGCCTGAAGGATGGCACTATCGAACTACGTAACTCAAACATCCAAAGACCAAGCCCGTCATTTTCCTCTGAGAGCTGGGCTGAAAAGCTTCAAATACATAAAACCTCGGTGGCCACGAGTCACATCGGTAGTTCCTATCGCAAGGCACGCAGGGCTGAGGATGCCACTAATTACGACCACCAAAAGGCCGGACAAGATAAACACTGGCCACCTTGACACCATATTTCATAATGTGACACTAGCAGCACTGGGAGGATATGATGCGCCCATGATCTTCAGCTGTTTTCAAAGCTCAGTGCCCTGCGCTTTTTGAACCTCCACCATCGCTGCAAGGAAGCTGTCCCTTCATGTCTCAACTCATGAGGTTCGAAAGACTTGGCCGTTTTGAAAGTGAGGATTGGAGGTAGTGACTTACACTGACACCATCCGAGGACGAGACAAGCCAAATCTGAACGCCAGGCGGTTCAAATTTGCAAGTCTGGCAGAGTCCTGCGCCCATGACGCACTTTTTCCAACCAGCTCTTGATCCCTCATATTACTCGTCAAGATTCACCAAGACTATTTGGGAGTATTTAGGCCAATAGCGCAAAGTTTGCGCTCCGTAGGGAAGCAGACTTTGTCGGCCACCGCAATGCTTGGGTAATCTGGCTGATCACCTGTAAAGCGTCCACAGGATAACAAGTGAAATTGACTTTGTGCACGATGAATCCAGGAACAGGTTTCCACAATCTTGGCCGTTTGATGACTTGGGTTGCAACTGTTCTCACACGCTTCAGCAGCCAAACCGCCCTCGATGCCTCACCGAAAACCAGTTTCATTGGTTCACTCATGGGTTGGATGTTGAGGACTGCTAAAATTCGAAGTGAGTTCCGAGTTCCTGCTATCTTGATTTGTGTCTGTATGCGCGATGCAATGCTATATAATGCTATGATATGAGAAAGCACCTCCTACCATGCCCAGCAGAAAAAAAGGGAAGGGTTTGACATGTTTGACGTCTCTTTTGGGCACGCACTGCAAAGGTGTGCTGTGCCAAACTCCGAGGTCCGTGCTCAGGGGGCACTGTGCCACGCAGACCTAGCGTTGATACCACATCTCGGTGATAATCCCAGGCTTGGGTGGTCCCAAACATAAGTTCCAGCGTTTGCAGCTTAATCTCTAAGTTCAAAACCAAATCTGCTAACGTTGGAACAGAGGCCTGTCAAGCAACAGGAATGCTGGAGAAGTCCTGTAAGCGACTTGGAGTGCGAATGACCAAGAACGAGTCCCAAGGCCATCACAGGGCACAGGTAGAGGAAAGGTTTAGCGGCCTCAAGCCGAGCCCGTTGGTAGGAGCTCAGAAGTAGACAAACAAGTGAGAAAAACATACTGGATGATTGTGGGGAGGGCCATTGGCAGGGAAAAACAACTGAGGATGTAACCACTGGCTCACTCACACCACAAATCAACCTCAACCAACAAGGCTGCGCTTCTGCGATCCAAAGATTGACTCAAGAGCTATCAAACTGGTTTCTTCTGGTTTCTTAGCTTCTCACCCATTGCCATTTGGAAGACCAGTCCTGAAAGTCTCAGGACAGTCAATATGGAGAGAACGTTGGGAAATGGTAAGACTCTCTCAGTTTCTTGGCTTGAGTCTCAGTTTCCCACAATTCAAGCAAATTGCCATGGTCGACAGCATAATAGTAGGCCTTGGGACGTGCTGCAGTTCATCCAACTTAAATGGGACGCTCAAATTTCCGACACACTTTAGACCACTGAGATGCCGTACCCACATCAAGAATGCGAAACATCCCAGGAATGGAAAACACCAGAAAGCATCGGTGCCTCCAGCTATCAGCAAGCAGCAGCTATCAATGCACGTGGATGCTTGCAAAGCCGCGTGTAAGGCACAGTGTAAGGCCATCACAAGTTCTCCCAACATCCTCAGGCCTTGTTTCAAGTGTGCTTTTCTATCGAAGGGGTTCATCGACACAGAAGCAGCGCAGAACCAAAACACTTTCTGTTCGGTAGGTTGCTGGCGTCTCAGTCCTAAGCACGGTGCTGCGACACATCTGTAGCTTCTACAATCGAAACAGTTCTGCTAGGCATGGTGCGAGAGCATCTTTCTCTGGCCTCGGAACTATTGAGGCTTCTGACTTAAGATATCCGCCCCGTAGCACGCAGGAAGGATTGCCACGGTTCTGGTCGAAACCATCGAACAGCATTGAATGAAATTTCCAGGGGCCGGACTTTGGCTCAGTTCAAACGTGGCAGAGGGAAGGCAAAAACGAAGAGAATCAACTTGAGCCTTACCTTCTGCACTTGAAACGAGGGAGGTTTATGTGGGATTCCACACGGCATCAAAAAAATGGCTTGTTGCACGCAGTCGTACTTGTCCCAGCCAAGTTTTCACCACAGTCGAGCACCGTTGCATGGACTAGCGGCTGTACATAAGATGAAGCGTTCGATCACTCCCCTGTGATCAAACTGCGTAAGCCCAAATCCCCTGGCCACGTCAAGAACCCAATTGTGATTAGCAGCCACAGCAAGGCAGTCAACCCATTCTCATTGCTACATTGCTATTGTTCAACTTTGTCAGAGGTAAAAAAACAAACAAAAGCATGCTGAACCACTGGGTGATTTCCAGAACTTGTCGTGTGCCAAGGCTGCGCACTCAGTGCGAACCCCCTACCTCTCACTGCCTGAAGACGAGTCCTTCCTGTCCTTCCTGCCTTGGTTGTGATCAATTGGGTCAACACAGTTGCTTTGAAGACCATGCACAGAGAGAGAGAGAGAGAAAGAGAGAGAGAGAAAGAGGGAAAAAAAAGTCACAACTTCCAATTGAACCGCTGTGGCTCTGGCATTATAGTCATGGTCGGTTTCTTCTACTCACCAATCTAGCTTCAGGCGCGCAAGTTGCTCTTGCGCCAGCTGCACCTAGCCACAATCAAATGGAAGAGCTGCAAGCACTCGAAAGTGCAGCAGAAGGAAGAGTGTGCCCTATCACATGTTAGTGGCCCACTATTTTCATCTATTTTCTAGAGCATTGTGGACAAAACATACGCAGGCAGCGACGAGAAAGTTTTTCCAGATCAGATTGAGCAGGTTCGCCCAGTCATATGTGTTGAATCCAACATGCTAGCGTGCTAGAGACTATCAGGATGAAATTCACAGCTTCACCAGTGCATCCTGTGCGGGGTCCATGCAGGGTCGAAGCGAATCTCTTTGATGCTAAGGACTTGGTTCTTGTCGTAGATCACAATCTCTGGACCATCTCCAGGATTGATCTCAATGGAGTCATGGCCAGAAGCTTTTAGCTTTTGATTTGTCCATGGGATGTGCTCATCCTGACGTCCGCCGCAGTATCTGCAGCATGGAAACTTCTTCACACGACCGACATCAACCTTCACTTCCAGCATGCAGCCAATGCCAGAGTGTGGGGTGATGGCTTTGGTTTTGGTTGCCTGCGGTGACAACGCAAAGTAGATGCCACCCCCACACCACCCATCGTGCCCCGGCCGGAAGCCCGTTCTGATAATGCTGTGGCACGCATCGGGGCTGGTTTGGTGATACAACGTCATCACCTGCCGGCCATATTCGCTGGTTGCCGGTGGGGCAGTTGCGTGTGGTATCAGGTGCTCTGGGCAGCAGCCCAAATACATCCCGCTGGCTGTGGGGCAGCAATCTCCATGTAAGCCTGCACAAAATGAGAATGCCGCGCATGAAGCCCCAGATCTGGCTGGTGCTGGTGCCCTGTGGCATCTGGCATAATAGTCCGAGCAACAGTTCCTGTAGCCTTGGCACTTTGAGTTGCATTGACATGTTCGGTATCGGCTGTAGGAGGCTTCACAGCCATATCGGGCGCAAGAACCCCAGGTCTCTGAACTGTTGGCCAAATCCTCTGCCAGTGCTTCAGAGGTAGCTTGCACTTTCTGGAGCTGCAAGGCATTCACTGCACAATTCTCTGAGTCGCATTCGTCGTCCGCGGCAAGGGATGTCTGCACATCACCAGTGGCAAATCTACAGCACATCAGCTGAATCCAGAGAAAAGGAACGAAGCAACGACTCGGCATGATGATCAAATTCAATGAAAATGAATGGAGGATGAAAGCGCTTTTCTTACTCCAGTTTGAGTAAAAATACGGCTGCAGCACAGCACCTCACAAAGCAAAGTCCTCAAGATGAACTCCACATCATGGTCATCTTTTGCATGAACATGCATGAACTAAACAGGTGGAAAATTGCTGGGTCTGGCACGTCCTTTCGAGCCTTGGCCAACATTTGCTTCCCTATTCGCACCAGCCAAAGGCAATGCATCATGATACCATGAGGGCCAGACCTTTGCGCGCCTATAAAAAATCTCACAGTCTCGGTTGGAGCAAATGACTGGCTCCAGCAAACTTCCTGCAACAAGCAGCTATGAGGAAGCTGGAAATTCACGGCTGAAGAACATTTGAAAAACTGCGTCAAGCAAGATTCAAACCTTAGAGTACCGTTGGAGAAAAAGCACTCCACTTCACGTTGGTCCTTGGCATCGCTGGCATTGTGTCCACAGGCGGCTGTACTCTTCCTCCTTCTGACGGAAGTTCTCCATCTGCTCAATCACTACCTCAGACTATCAGACAATTGGAAAAACTGGCTTCTTTGAATGTGTCGAGACACGCAAAAGCTACTTGTCAAAAGATGTACAATCATACACTCGCCCCAAACAGCAAAAAATGCCAAAGGGAGCATAAGCTGGCCACATCAGCAGCCTTTTCCTTCTCGCAATGCTCACAGAGCAGACCCGCTTTGATGATCGCCTGAATGCAGATCGGAGGGAATCACCCCAAGAATGCACACAAGCATTGTTGAAAGTTCACCCATCTGTCAGTTATGTGTGATCCTTCCCCTGCCTTGCACCCCATACACCGCAAACTCTTTGTCACGAACTTGGCAAGAGCCCCACCTGTGACATCCACAGAATGCGAATGACCATCACAGGCTTTGATGCAGGCCTTGTGGAGTAGGGGTGTGCAGCTTGCGGGTATGCTGACCAGAAAACAGCAAACTTTGCGCTTTCTTCTCATCACCTTCGCAAGAGCACAAAGAGCACATCTGCAAATCTCAGAAAACCAGCGCAATTCTGGTGTGCAGTGGCCCTTTTTAGTCCCTGTTTGCAGCCTAAGGACCCATGATTGGGCCAAAGATTCGAAGAAGCGGCAGTGTAAGCTGGTGCTCGATGTAGTACTGTGCATCGATGGATTTGTTATTCCTGATGGGCTTGCATTGTTCAGGTGCCTGTTGCATTCGCTGTGAAATGTTTTCCTGATTAAGGAGTGGGACTGTCTGCTGTCTACTTTTTTGGGAAGATCCGGCACGGTTAGTAAACCGCAATCATCTCATACAGAAAAAGCCGCTTTTGTGTGCTTCGTGGTGCACATAGGTCATAGATATGTTGCTGTTCAGCCAAGTAGCTCCAGTGCATACAGCGGATCCTCACTGCGTTCATACGCCTGGGACAGACAGAATATATCAATGGCCATTTCAGGAACCTAAATTGGAGGTACCTACCACATATAAGGCCTATATAAGGCCTATGTAAGGGAATATCCCCACAAAATATGGCCTTATATGGTACAGTACCTCCATTTTTGGATCCTGAAATACCCATTGATAGTACACTATATTAATCTATGGTACTAGTAATTTAACGCACATATCTTTCTCTCCACAGTCGCTTTAGAACATGGCAGTAACAACAGCTGATGCTCTTGGACCCCAGGATGCATTTCGACGTTTGGACGGCCTTGGCACCCTTGGAGCCACTCACGATGACATAAGGCACGCGATCACCACTACCTGGAGCAGTAGTTGGGTCTCGCCTGAGTGCGCTGCATTCGGATGTTGCACAGTCACGGACATCGGTGGACTCCACTTTGTTTGATCTCCATCTGCTTAAAGCTGCTTAGCTACAACGCCTGGGAATGATCACTCTCTTTAATCTCCAAGTCAAGGGCTTCCTCATGCGCTCTGCTAGCTCCACATGGGCCTGCTTTGCTGCGTAGTCCTCCAGGCAAGACTTTATCAAACTTGTGAGAACTACATCAAGATATCATAATGTCGTCCTCCGCATGTGCACCCTTTCCAAGTGACCTAAGAGAGTTTCCAGGCCGACACCAGCTTCTCGCTGCTATGTCTGATGATGTCTGATGAGTCTTTTTAGACCAAGATGCTTGGTAATTACCAGCAGGGACAGGTCGATCTTGTTCTGCAGAAGATCTGAGACCTTTTGAACTCAAGCTGGCATGCGCACATCTGGACTGCAAATTCTCTAACAAAGAAGTGAGAAGTATGTCAGGCAAAGGGCAAAACTTGCTGAGGACACAGCTGCTTTCTGCACAAACTCAATGGCCTTACGGAAACCAAATCTCGAAATGAAACTCATCCCATCCCGCATCATCCCCCTAGACCTCTTCCTACTATAGCGCTTGCTTAGCAGGCTTGGGTTCGTTGGCAGTTCTTGAGGTGCCCACTTTCGGAACGGATTTCTCAATGAGAATTGTCTTCAATGAAATATCCACCAGCTGACGGACCAAACCACCTTAGCAAGACGAAGAAATCAAGACC